ATATGTCTTTATGAAAATGATTTAGGGTTAGGGTTATTTTGGTCCAATCAAGAGATGGGTCACACCACAAAGTGACAAAGGGGGCTCAAAGCTTGGTGACGTATCAACTCAAACTGTTAATTTCCTAGCTGGTCCGGCAAGGCTAGGGGTAGTCAGTCCAGGAGCTCCTGGAGTTTCTCTCTATTTTGTCTCTACTGTTTGTTTACTTGCCTCTAGCATTGTATTTACACCTTATTTTGTTCAATAAAAAGTAATTGAAGAGGGCAAATTAAAGAAGCTTGTTAATGATCAACTTACCTCGGTTGCTTATGAGGTAATAAGTCCACATAGTTTACACATAGGAGCAGTTTTTACTCCGACAGATGAGGATAAATGAAAGTGAATGGTGCAACACAGCTAATAAGTTAGCTCACTCTATTTTCTTATTCTCTCTGAATAGGTGGTGCTGGTTTATTCAACATAGTTAATACAAGGATTTTGTCTAAACAGCTTTCATCAAGTATGTATATGGACAAGCAACAGTTGGCACATAGAGTCTAGATTATCCAATCAGAGGACCTGAAAGAAGATCTGTTGGTAGATATAACACCTTTAGGCAACACACAAAAACCTATTCAGGTAATTAGGTTAAAGGGACATTGTGTAGGAATTTCTCCCATCTAGCGGTGAAATTATATTTTGCATTCAAACGAATAGTGCTCTCTAGTGCCTCGCGTTTTCAAATGCGTATTGCAACTACGGTAGCCGTTATGTACCAAGAAGCCTACCTGTCGAGGAGAAAGCAGGCAACTTCAGCATCCCTTTGAAAGTCTTTCTCCTTCATTAGCTCTTTCCACCTGGGAAAAGCCACCCCGATGTTTACCCTCGTTTTTTTAATTCGCCAGTCACGTTGCCTTTTTAATTCCCTTTTTCGCTTTTTTGGCGACGAGGATTCCTTCTCCTGTGGCTCGGCGTAAGTATGATCCTCCATTATGAACTAAAGTGCAGTGCAGACTTTCAAATGTGCCGGGGCAGTGACAAGCGCCTCTCACTGATCTCCTTCTCCGTTATAGCTGGTTTCAGTCACATGACGCTGGCTCTGAACGAAAACGCGTTGTGGATTAGCTGGACAGGTAGGCTAGTGCTTTATGTCCCTCTTGGAGATTATAGTTTTTCAAAATGGCAGAACGACATGGAAGCCTCCATGGACTTGCCCGTCCAATGTATATACAGATAAGAAATTCTTCGCTTACGAGGATAAGTCAGATCATTGGCAGAGGTAATTTTACACCAATGAGGACACATTTATGAATGAAGACATTGATTTTAGCTAATAAAATACTTAAAACACTACACAATGTCCCTTTAAGAGATACCTCTTGACATAATTGTTAATGCACATCATACCATCCTACCTGCTTCATACTCCAGAGCCAGAAGCATAACTTCCTGCCATGTCAAAGCCCACCAATAAAAGCATGGATAATACATACATATCAGAATAGCCCTCTCTGTGTCACAAAAAAGCAACTGAGATACTATATTTTTGCTCGACAAACAGATGAGTCAGCGTTTATATTTCCAGCCAAGTCATTGTCAACTCACATAACAGTCAGGGAGGAAGTGGAGCAGAGGGTGTGTGAACAGGCAGCACAACGTCTTAGGGGGAGAGCTGCTCGTGAAAATCAGTATTCATAGCTGAAGAGAATTGCCAAGTGGTGATGTGTGTGTGTCACCAGAGGGACCGTGAATTACAATATGAAATGTGAGGCTATTAGAGATGCACGTATTTACTGTGAAACATGTACAGTTAAAGGTGCAGTGTGTAACATTTAGGAGGATCTATTGTCAGAAATGGAATATAATGTCCATAGGTATGTTTTCATTAGTGTATAATCACCTTGATATAGGAATTGTGTTTTTGTTACCTTAGAATGAGCTGTTTATATCTACTGATGCTGCAGGTTGCCTTCCATGGAGTTCACCATGTTGAACCACCAGGTTTCTATAGTAGCCCAGATTGGACAAACCAAACACTGGCTCTAGATAAGGCCTTTCGCATTTTTTCGCAAATTTCCAGGCTAGCGTAGTTTCTTAAACATACTTCACAGGCTGTTCTCATTCTCAGGTTGTCAAATACAGATGTTAGCGGTATTCAGTTACTTCAATCTGCAAATTCACCACTAGATACCACTAAATCCTACACAGTGGTCCTTTAAAATCAGAGAAAAGTAACTTTTTAAAGTCATAATGTACCAATAATTTTAAGAAGCATCTTATATTACGTGCTCCATGGTAACTTGCTCCAGTTATCAGAAACAGCTCTGACAGCTGCCTGCACAGCTGTGACTAGTTGACTAAACGAAACTAATCCAGGTCACGTGTGCTTCTCTAAAAACCACAGCTGCTTCTGACTTTACAAAGGTAGCTTTCCTCAGAGGCCACTTTCTGTCCGCCTTGTTATAAAAGTACTGGCACTTAGAAGACAAGCAGAACAATGGCAATGTATGCTAACAAGTTACAGAGCTCAGCAGCTAATGTCCACAGGTCAGAAGAAGCGTGCGTCAATAACAGACTACTATGTTTCTGATACAGAAGACATTTCAGTTGAGCTATGTGGATGTGAGTAACTTAACCTGAAGAGTGCATGAAGTTGCTTCAACAGTGACAGGTACAGTGAGGGCAAGTACACACCAGTGAACCACTCACGCCGATTAAGATTACCTAAAGCTGCAGTAGGTAATTTTTATAAACATAACTTTTTGTCATACTTGCTAAAACCTTTACTATATCCTGACAGTACTACATGAGACAGATAAAAAAGAAAAAGATGCTCCTATGGCATTTGCAAGAATTCACCGGGCCCAATCAGAACAACCAATGAGAGCCAAAAAAGATATAAAGACACTTTTGGTTTGTGGCTTGAAGATACTTGATTGTTGAGTCTCATTCCCAGCATTTGACAACCTGCGAATGAGACTCAACAATCAACTATCTTTCTTATCTCTGATTGCTTGTTTTCGTTCAGGCTCTGGTGGATTTTTTCACAGATTATCTGTATCAGATAATGGCCTCTAGTGGTTCTTGGTTACATTTACACTTACATTTTTTATTGGTGGATAGTTATCTGACCCGTCCAGCCTGCATTAAGTGGCTAAGTGGGGTATACATGGGCTGTGAAGCTGCTATAAATATAGGCTTTTCTTTCCCACATTCCAAAACAACAGCAAAAAGCCTTAGATATGAAGATATGTATTGTCCTCTAATAGTCAGCAGTGCCTCATAGCAAACCTTTCATAACAACCAAAATGCAAGAGCAAAATGCAGTCTTCCCTGATGCCCATGTTCTTAGCCGATACGAGGACCATCATACTGGTCCATCAGTCCATCATGCTTAGCAGGGACTGGTTAAGTATTTATGTTGAGCACTCCCCATACAATATTTGACTTCCTGTACTGGTTACACAACAAAACACTTGCGGGTCAATGTGACTTCTCTTTACATGCCCATTCAGTTTTAGGATTGATTAATGCTCGGGAGATTCATGAGAAGATGAACCTTCAAACACTCTCCACTGCGATCAATTAGAATAAGATCCAACCTGACATGTTTAATGTAATCACAAAAGCTTTTGAGAAGAGATCCTTTGCTTACCAGAGCAGCTCAACAGCTGTCTGTCTTCAAGATGAATGACTCTGTGTATTCCACCACTTCCAACTGCACAGCAGGTGTGTGTCTATATACTAAAATAGGAGACTGCCCCAGCTGATCCAAGGAGATCCAAGACTTATGGCATGACATGCTGCTTCTTGCATCAGCCTGTGTGTGTGTGTGTGTGTGTGTGTGTGTGTGTGTGTGTGTGTGTGTGTGTGTGTGTGTGTGTGTGTGTGTGTGTGTGTGTGTGTGTGTGTGTATGTGCAGTCCTTAGCATGTGTGTGAAAAGTTGAGGCGGAGGTGGATCTGTTGCACTGAGTGGATTCCTTGAGCTCCTTGAGTGCCACTGGCCTCATGACTTAGTTGGACAACCTGATGGGGAAAGTACTATGTCGTACAAGTGGTACAGTGGAGCTTAAAATAAATAGACTTCAGTTTGTTGCTTTTGTGATCAATACTGGCCCACAGGTGGGTGAGACATCTACATCAAATGGTGAAGTTTTCCTTATTCAGTACTCCATCCACTCAAGAAAATTTGACAGCTACATGCCTTCGCCATCCTAAGAAAAACAGTCGGCTCTCAGAACACTACTAAATGATGCAGAGAGCTATACCCTGCACTACACCACTGGGTATAATGATTACCATGTTCGCCATTGTAGTTTTATGACGTTGGAAGTTGGAACAACAAGGGAAGAAAAAGTGTTGGCTGTTTTTATTGATTGTAATTTATAGTGATCCCAATTTGATAGTTGATTGACTATGATTACTTTTTGAAACCTATAATATATATATAAATATATATATTGCCTGGGAGTTGACAGATATACAAATTTGACTATAACTATACTTAATCTTGGTAAATATTCTACATTTAAAAGAGATCTTACAAACGGCAGAACTATGAATGTTCCTTAACTTTGAATAACATGGTCACTGCTTGAGGTCCCACTAGTTTTGAGATGGAGGTCACAACTGTGTTCATCACAGTAAACAGACCAATTTACACATATCATTAGATGACACACTAATTACATAAGCTGCAAAATATAATTCCAGACACACTGTCATACACACACACACACCATATAGATGTTGAGTGTTACTGACAGAAAGAGAACAATGATGCATTGTGTTGAGCAAAGCATGAGGGCTCCATTACTTAGAAATGAGAAAATTTGTTTGCTGCTGCATCCTGTTAGTTAGCACAGCTTGCAGCTACTGGCCTACTTTCTTCAATTTAGAGGAAATCCAGCAATCACCTGAGTCTCATTTTCTCACCTTTCTATGTTGAATGGCTGATTAGTGGTTTAAGAAATGATCATCTTTTACCGTCTCTAAATTTTTGTTCTCTTTCTTTGCTCAGGGGTGGATATCCTAAAGCTGGTGGCGGCTCAGGTGGGCACCCAGTGGATAGACATCTATCAGTCACTTGCCAATGCCACAGAGAGGGAGGTGGCCGCCTTCTCCAACGGCTACTCGTCAGATCATGAGCGGGCGTACGCTGCGCTGCAGCACTGGACCATCCGGGACAGCGATGCCAACCTTGCCAAGCTGATCAACGCCCTGCACCGACAGCGCCGCATCGACGTGGTGGAGAAGATCCGCTGTGTCATGGAGGACAACCCACAGGTAGGCTGGATGGAGGGCAAGACACTTTTGACCTGTTCAGAATCAGGGTAGCATGTTTATTCAGAAGTTTAGCATTAAGATATCTTTGACCTTTGCTGTCTTCACATCTTTTCCATCTTCGGCTCCGTCAACATCACTGGCACAAGCCGTCGTACACACTGTTCTTTGCATCTCTCTCCCCCTGAAATCTAATCTGTGAGGAAAACTGTCTGGTGTCAGAAGCCAGTCCCTGTGGTTCAGCAGCATTCCTCACATTAAAGCAACAGTTCACTTTGGGAGAGGAAGTTTGATGTTGTGAGTAATTACAATCACTGTCACAGCCTCTCCCTGCACTTCACTTTTTGATGGAGGAAGTGGTGTGACTTTGGATCAGATCTCTGTTTGTTTGAAGCCACAGTGGATCTCCAAAGAGGTACATGTGACATTGCCAGCTCAGCTCAGCTCAGCTCAATGTGGGCAGCAGAATGCAAACTTCAAACACTAGATGGCAGCACATATTTTTACCTGTTTATTCTGTCGTTATTGTGTTGATTGAATATATTAAACAGAAAGCCATAAACACAGGGGACACACAGAATCCTTCATCACCATTTACTTTCCTCCTTCTAACTCTCTTTTAACTTTTTGGTGATGTGTATCAAATGAGCGACCTTGATTGTACTCTCCAAGGTGAGATCTGCACAGTTACAGCCTTGTTCGGGTTTTAAAGACACACTAGTCATCTGAGCTCAGTGTCTCAGCTCTTTAGTCGTCTGTTGTAATTTGGCCTTTCGTCACAGCTTAATAATGAGCACATCTTGTGCGGCAATATTTTCCTGTTTGTTTCAGTGGATCGATCGTAGATAAGATAGCAGATGATTAAACTGTTGATGGAGGAGGTGTGGTAAATTCAGGAAAAATTCAGTGAAGGGACCACAGGAAGTGGGAGCAGTTCTGTTGGAACAATTTAAGGACGGGTTTCAGTGTTTAATTTACATTGATTATTGATGCACTGCATGGCCAAAAGTATGCGGACCGTTTTGTGTATGTTTGGTTTGTATTTATCATATTTGATGAGGTTTCTGCCTCTTACAAGGAAGTTTTTTCCATGCTGCTTTTGCCAAGTGCTTGCTCATGGTGGGAACTGTTGGGTCCCTGTAAATACTTTCATAAGGAGTACGGTCCAGACATGCTCTATTTGAAAAGTGTCCTGAGATACCTTTTGTTATGAATTAGCGCTATACAAATAAAATTTGATTGAATTTAATTTATTGGCCTGCACAGAGCCCTGACCTCGACCCCATCCAGGACCTTTGGAATGAACTGGAACACCCACTTCAGGCCAGGCCTTAACGCCCAAAATCTGGTTAAAATCCTTCCCAGAAGAGTGGAGTGGTCATGTTCGGTCAATGCACTGTATGCCATGTCAATGCGACTCACCTACGGGAAGCATGTCAACGCATCTGTGACATAACAGCAATGTATGGCATTGAGGTTTGAACACACAGTTGAAAAGAAAACATTCACCGTATCGATGGTATTCCCATCGGAACAACTGAGTGTCAGCTGTCTGATGGATGTTTCTATTTTTATCTCTGCTGTTGAGAGCAGACAGCAGAGTGACGGCTGTGATTCCCTTTCTCCTCGCTCTCGTTTCTGTTCCTCCTCACTGTGAACTATGAGGCATTCTTTGAAGAAGAGAGCTTGCAAAGTAGGCAGTTGAATCAAAAATATGAGCTTGAATAGGTGTAATCACCACAACATGTTTACCAAAATCATTGCTAACATATGTAGTGTATATCTGATTTTGCACTTGGAAAGCAACAAAATGTATTCTGACAGGAAGTTGACAAATCTTATTTCAAGCTACAAATGATATAACTCATGACATGTCGTCAAAGTAAAAAATACATGTTTTATTCATGAATTAAATTAATGTTTAATATAGATACTGCTTTGCCTGCTTGCTTTTCTTACCCGGGCATCAGTTTGTACAAATAAGTGATTAAAGAGCAGCCATGCTGTTTCATTTCAATAAGTCTCCTGTGTGTGGCTAATGGATGCATGATGTCAGAGACTGCAGCAGACGGAGCATTCGTCCTCGGGGAGGAGTGAGAAACAGAAGGAATCAGTAAAGGGGAAAGACGGTGATTTTTGTTTTCTCTTTATCAACACAAAGCAGAGTCACTTCTGTAGTGTAGTGTTTAAATCTACCACAAAAACCGCTCTACAAAACATCATACTTGCTGTTGTGAATAAGACAATGCTGCCTTCATCATCTTTATGACTACCATGATTTCAGTCAGCCGACTCATGGGGAATGGATTATTATGTGACCTTGTCACTCTCCAAAAGGAAACACCAAGCAGGGAGTGGGGAGTATATAACCCCCTGAAACAGTGGTTCGTGGATAGGTTTCACTGTTAATCAGCCAATTTATAGTACAAACAGTTATGAATAAATAAATCTTATCCCTGAGTCTATATCATATTATATCCAGGTCGGCGGCGTTATCACTTTAAGGGTTCTTGACACCAAAAAAGGCTGACATCCACTGCCCTAGCATATAGACTCACAGGTGATGCTGGGAAGGAAGGTTGTGCCTTCTTGGACTTGAGGTGACCACCTGAACTAGCTTGCAGGCTTTGCTTCATCTACATTTGTGTTGGACTTGGTATAAAAGGAGAGAACATGGGTTGCTATAGTAACTATAGTGCAGCATGCATTTAGCATCAACTAGGACAGCCAAACAAAAAATTAAGACTAGCTAGTCTTATCAAGGGACAGCAAGCTCTCAAAAAGGACAGCAGTCGTATCTCTGCAAGCTTTAGAATCCTGAACATAAGATATAGTTCCTTTTGGAACATAAACTTTGGTCTTAGAGTTGAAATCTTATAATTGTTGCTTGTAAAAGGTTCATGTGTTTGTTGAGCAGTAAACTCCAGCAATGCATCTGTGTTCAAAATGCAAAAGAAGGTGCAAAGTCAGTTTTGAGAAAGGCCTCTTGACAACAGTGTTGACCAAGCATTTTAGAGTGATACTCTGCAATGAGCACTGTTTTGTATCCTTTATATTTGAAAGAGGGCTAATACTACTGATCTAAAGCACAAAGAAACAAAAAACACTGCATTCTGTTGGTGGGATGGGATTGTTGATCAGTTCCAATGACTCAACAATTACTTGGCCAAGTGCTGAGAATTCTGGCTTCAAAAACGTAATTTCATTCTGGTTTTGATCAGGAAGTGCCCAGCTAATTGGAATTTTAAGATGGCCGATGACCAAAAGCTGGAGGCTGTCAACCCCTAAGTTATGAGTCTGTGTTGAAGAGGATAAGCACTGAGGAGGCTGGCTGTCCAATCTTTGTGTTAGAAATACAATAGATAGACACGTTCGTTGGAGCGAAGCCTATGTTGATGTGCTTTTAGGTAGATTAAAGAATAATTTTGGTTTACTATAACTTGGGTCTTTGTAATTTTGTTAATCATTTCTATATACCAAGTTCATTTCTGAGACCTGGGAAAGCAGTGACATGGCCAAAAAGAAGTCCAGCAGTGCGGGGAATACAAACAGTAGTTGAGCAAAGTCTTCCTGTGCAGTGACATTTCATATGTGTTCACTTACATTTTTAAATCTAACTAAAAAGATAAGATGACGGCTAAACTGGAGGTCTGACAGCTTACATTCCTTACCAGAAATTACTTTTATGAGTACAATGTATCATTTTAGATAGTAATGAGGGCCTAAAAAATAAGCTCCAAGTTGTGATAAAGCAGAATTCTCCCTTGAGTTGCAGTATGACAAATGAACACAAAAATGAACGACATTACAGAGCGACTGAGCAAAGCTAATTACTCCATTATTACGGAGGTATTCCTTATGTGGTTAAAGGGGAAAGCTGCACAAAAAGAAGGCGTCGGGACAGGTTATAAGGCTAAAAACATAATCCGGGGTGAATGCCAACCCTGTGGTGTCACTGCACATCTTCTACATGATTTGAATGATTTGTACAAATGTCGAATGGCCTAAACCCCAACCGACCTTGGATCTCCTAAAGAGCTTGGTCAACCTGGATACTTTTTCCAAAGAGTACTTTGATATTTAAATTACTTGCCACTTTGACAGCAGAATAAAGCATTCATTTTAACCTATGCTGAACCAAAGTCATTACAATTCATCCTGAGGTGAACACGAATGTCTGCATAAAATTTTGTGCCAATCCATTTAGCTGATATTGAGATATTTCACTTTGTAAGTGAAAACTTTGTCCCTCTGGTGGCACCGTCAGTAGCATTCATCCTCTGGGGACAATAAATGTCTGTACTGAATCTGAATGCCAATCGTTGTAATTTGTTGAGATATTTCAGTCTAGATCAAAGTGGTGGACCTGACATAGACATGGCTAGAGCCTGGCTGCAGGAAAAAGGGGGCATGAGTCAGTGGGACATAGGTGATTGTGTGATTTGTTTAGATAAATACACCGTTGAGGAGCTGAAGAATCCCCTTTTTAGGTGCATTATACAATTATATATATTAAAAAATGGAGTCTGTTTTTCAGGTACACACTTTCTCCTCTTAACTTTTCTGAATGCACCAAAAAACAACAACATACAGTAGTCATTTTCCCTTCCTGCCACAACGATGCACAATCAAATGCAATTTCTTCCCTAATTGGGTGTTAATGACTCAGGTCCCATTAGACGCCTTTCAGTCCCTTCCATAACGAGCCCCATAAGATGATAAAATGAAACCACATCCAGTACTTTCTAGGGGAAAAGGACTGAAATTTCCCAGAAACTGCATTTGATTCTTCAGAAGGTAATTCAGAGAGATTATCTGCAAATGTTGAGTGTGAGTGTATTTGACATTAAGTATGTTTTAGTGCAGTCTGCGAGCAGGCTTATCCATTGAAGATCTACTTTAAATGTCATAGATGAATTAAAGGCTGAACTTACCATGACATCATAGTTTCTAACAGTGGGACCCGATGCTGTGCTCTACACACAGTTCCTATCTTAGCTGCATCTTAGTTAATAGCTCGTCTGTTTTGGGAGTAATTACAGCTGAGTGAGATTCTTCGCTGTAACAGTTTTTGATGTAATTAATCAAAACATCCCCAGTGTGTGCGTGTCTGTCCCCTGTGCCCTTCACACTGCAGAAATCTGCCAACTCTGCCATGTGAGGCTAGCTGGCTCGGTCTGTATGTGTGTGTACATATGGGTGTTGGGCTGCGAGCCCAGTGTGTGTGTGCGCGTCTGAGTCCCTGTCCCCAGCAGGGCCTTGTGTTGCGCTGACAGGCGTAGTCAGCAACTCGGCCTGATCCTCTCTCTCTCTCTCTCTCTCTCTCTCTCTCTCTCTCTCTCTCTCTCTCTCTCTCTCGCACACACACACACACACACACACACACACACAGCAGCCCAGGAGCTTTCTGGAACAGCAGTCGTGTTCTTCCTCAAAGTGACCCCTGCGCTCCGGCTCCGTCCTCAGTGGCTAAGCTTGGAGTTGTTCAAGGGTGCCAGCATAAGGGAATCAGATTCCGTGTGGTCTGAGGGGCTCTCAGACAGAGTGGCAGTACGTAAAGAGCTCTGCCTGGGTGGGCAAAGAGGACAGAGCTTTTCATGTAGCAGTGGGCTGGTTATGTTGGATGGCAATAATTACACCGTTAGTCACAGCCTTGTCAAAAACATTATTTTAAAGGGTCAGGTAAAAAAAATTTGATTTCAAGGGGAATCTGATGCGGTGGCAGGCAGTAAGAAAAACTATATAGAGATCTCTCTGATGGTCTTGTTTGTTTATCTAGGTCAGACAGAGGCATCAGTATTACATTGAGACTGTTTCATAAACAGTTAAAACTCCTTGTAGTACAATGTCACAATGTCACTGCTACTTTGGATAATCCACAGAACAGGAAGTACATCCAGTAAAAACTATAGACAGTATGTTCGGTGTGATTTTTCAGCATCACAAAACACATACCCTTGACCTCTATTGTGTGTAATTTTAGATCCTGTTGACAATTTTAAAGATCTTGCAATTTGCAGAACTCTCTATTCCATTGCAAGTTAAAGTCCCCTCCAGTCAGAAATCAGTGTTTCTTCTCCTTCCTACAGTGAGCTGTTTGAATGCTGTCTGTGCAGAGTTTGAGTCTAGAAGGATGTTTTCACATTCATCTGGTGAAAGTGGAAAGTTTCTCTGTGCTCATTGAAAAGTTGATTTTAAGGTGACATCACAAATAGTTAGGAGGACAGTCTGGGTCCAGTATGCAGCTTGTACAGTGTGATGTAGAAACTTGAATCCACTAGTGTACATCCACTGAGAATGGACTTTACAGTGAAGTAAGAGACATCTTATGTCCAGCAGGAAAACATCAGAAATTAACAACATTAGATGAGATAAACTGGAGTTATAGTACACTGGGCAGATGAATGGACTGATTGAATGTGAAGCAAGATGTTGGTGGAAAGGTGCAACCATATGTCATCTGGGATGACTTTTTTTTCTTTCAACTCTTTGTAACGCCTAAATATTTTCATATTTATAAAATGGTTCTTAGCTGACTTGTCCTTCCTTATTTTTTCTTTTCAAAAATCTATTTTTCTGTTTGTACAAGACAGTCATTTAGCATTAACTTGATGGACTAAACCTGAGAAGTAAGTAACAAATAAATATGAGTGTATCCGTGCAGGTTGGTTCAGTCTCTCTGACACTGTAAATTCAGGCCTAATGACCCTTTCCTGTGAGTAACTAAATAAGATAACCAAAGAGTTAACTTAAAAGAATATGAAATAATCTAATGATCATAATATTATCATTAATCTCATAATAACCAGTCACCACAATAAGTTTAGATTTGTTCCACAAAGTTGAAAATCAGATTGTATAATTTTGTGTCTTACATACACACTGACTTCCTGTCCCCTGAGGCCGCTAAATGTGTCATCCCTCATGGGGCTCTGTGGGTCTACATCTACATCTGCCCTTAAAAAAATATTTGTTCCAGTTACATCTGCTGCTGTGTGAAAGCCAGCGTGTCTCTGTCACTGTGTGTGTGTGTGCCAGTGTGCTTCTGTGCATGTATGTATGCACGCCTTTGTGGGTGAGACAGAGCGTGTTTGTTCTGTCAGAATCACGCGAGTTGTGTCACACTGCAGCCCAGTGACCCAGACATTATGGACTAGAGAAAGAAAAAACACAAGAGGAAGAGAACAGTGCTGGTGTTTCTGTTTAATAAACTGGAAATCCATCATAACAGACAATGAAAATGGATTTTCTTTAGAAGAGAAGTTCTAGCCCAGTTGCATTTTCTTTCTTTTTCTTTGTGTGTTGCTCTGTCTAGTTTTCCCGCAGCTCCATTTCCCATTTCCAGTGTGTGTGTGCTGAATGAAATGACCTCTCTGCTGCTGCGACCTTTAGGCCCGGCTGGGCTCATGCTGTGAAAAACAAGATGTGCTCTCATGATCTCATCCCCAAACCAGTCACTACTGGTTCAAACCACAGGTTCATTACCACACCAAAGAGAGAAAGAGAGGGGGGGTGAGAAGAGGGGGGTTTGCAACGATAGAGGAAGGAGAGAAAGAGGAAAACGAGACAGACTCAGGAAGATGAAGCGATATGGCGGAGAAACTAAAACAAAATTGGACTCAGAGAAACTTTAAAGCTGCAGTAGGTAACTTTTACGAAAATAAGTTTTTGTCGTTCTTGCTGACACTCTCACTATATCCTGACATTAGAACATGAGACAGACAATCTGTGAAAAAATCTGGTTCCTCTGGGTCCTCCTAGTGCTCCTAATGGTATTTGCAACAATCCATCGCGCCAGAACAAAAATAACCAATCAGAGGCGAGAAAGATGGGTGATTGTTGAGTTTCATTCCCAGGTCGTCAAATACAGATGCTTTGGGATCCTGGGAATGACACTGATCAATTATCTTCAAGCCTCGTCTCCAAAGTGAAAGGTGCATTCATGCTTTTTCTTTATTCCAGCCCCCCTTTTTTCTGCAGTTTTTTGTAGCAAAAAGAAAAGTATGCAGTTAAAACAACCAAAGAGCTAATAGAACAATGGCCAAGCATCCGAAAGAATAAAACACAGAATTTGTCAAAAAAGAAGCTTATTAAGTTTGATTGATAAAAATAAATATAACAAGAAAACTCATCTCTGATGCAGTATTCACAATCACAGCAATACTTTTTCATCGCAATTGCTTGTTTTGCACAAACTTCCTGCAATTATTGTCTTCGTTATTTGTTGTTATTGTTATGCATTGAATATAATATGAAACATCCATAAAATGTGTCAATTAGTCAGGGGTCGTCACTTTTTAATGATAGAAAAGAGCTTCTTAAAGTAAAAAGGTTGGGAACCATTGGACTTAAGCATTATCAACCTTTTTATGGTTGTTTAGGGAAAGATCATGGTCAGTGCTTTTGTTGCCTCTCTCTAACCACAGACAGGGGTCTGGATACGAACCCCGAACTGTGGTGTGACTTGGCTCATAAATCCATTATCACCACAATGTAATTATGAGCACAATTTAGTATTATACAAACATAATGTTTTTGTTGTGGATTTCAGGAAAAATGACATTTGAGACATGCAGTGGTTCAGGTCACAGATGTTTTATAGCCACATGTTCCATACACTTTACAATCATATATGTCAACCTCCCATTTATAAAACTACAGGAAATCCAGATAAACATCTGACACAGATTCTGTCTGCATAGACCCACACTGAACTAACTCAATAACTCAAAGTGAAGTGTGTATTATTTTCATAATAAATGGTTTAAACCTTGAGTTAAGAGTGCTGACTGAAAGAGAAAGGGGAGACAATTAACAGAGGATGAAATAAAAAAAAAGAGGGTCAGAGACAGAGTAACAGAAGGAGGATGGAAAGAAAGCATGAGGGGAAAAGAGTTGAGAGAAGGAGAGAGATGAAGAGATACAGTTGAATTCCAAGATGTGGGAGCTCATGTGCTCTGTGGGCAGCAAACAGCAGCCTGTGTGTCTGTGTTTGAGCATTGGTGTGTCGTTCTCGCTCCCCCTTCTCATCCTCTCCCTCCACTTTTTCTCTCCGTTTCTATCTGTAGTTTGACATCAACCAGCTGATGACCTCAGTGAATGTAAGCCAAAGCCTCAGTCCCATCCACAAGCCTCTGGAGTCCCCCAGCAGCGTTGGCAGCGGCAGCCACAGCGGCAGCAACAGCGGCAGTAGCGTGGGCGGGGCCAGCGGCGTGGGCGTGGAGCAGTCCCCGGTGGACCGCACCAAAGGCTTCTTCCCCGATGAGTCGGAGCCCCTCCTTCGCTGTGACTCCACCTCCAGCAAAGACTCCGCCCTCAGCAGGAACGGCTCCTTCATTACCAAAGGTGAGCCAGTTAAGGACTTACAAAGAGAGATCTATAAACAAACACTAAAATAAACTAATGAGGTAAAAGTGCAAGTAAAAACAAGAAAAATTCCATAAAAGCCGTAAAGCCATAAAACTTCATCAGCATCAGTGCCTAGAGAACACAGTGGCCCCTTTTCCAACAAATTAGTTCTGGTCCGTGAACCGGTTTTGTTCAGTTCTAGAACCTGGGTGCTATCTAGCAAACCAGGCCGTGTCTCCACTAGTTTTGAGTGGAACCATAGTAATCGTATGCATCATCAACAGAGGGACCTGCACCGTGCACAACAACCTGTAGAATATGACACGACCACTTTGATTCCCGAGGAAAACCTGCTATGTTTTGGTTCCAGCTGGGAAGCAACTTTTCAGGTTCCGAACCGATTTATTTTTGGTCAAAATGCTCTGAACGGTTCCAAACTAAGTGCCTGAACCGGAACGAAGCCAGTTCTCTTTTGATGGAAAAGGTAAGTGAGTCCTATGTGAGTCACCAAAGACGTTCTTGAAATAGTCAAGTAGTTCAAACAAGATAGTGACACAGAGGTCCTCTTCATCATAAAGCTTTAAGACCAGGTCATAAAGAAGAACCTTAAGTTGAACACGTTCAAAGTGATGTTCCCTGAAATTCCCAGACAAATTGTCAGTTAAATCAGCAAAACAGCTGACACACAGAGTCCAGGGGCAGTTGCCCAGTTGGTAACTCAGCCCTGGTGGCCGGAGCTTTGATTAATAAAAGAGAATTTGTTTTAAGTTATAGATGCCATTAGTGCACATCTTAAATGCAGCCCTTGTAAAGCAGGACTTACACTGGTCCACATTTCAGCAAACAGCTAATAAACTCTGCTTTTGTTACTGTAGAGTACGTTAGACTAAAATAGGCAAACTCAAGGTGGTGCTTTCACTCTTATTTCTGCATGTTGGCGCCACATTAAATGTGTTTTTGTAAAAAAAAAGTTTTTGTATGTTGGTGCCCCCAACTGGCAGAAAAATGTAATGTTACAGACTGAAACTGATTTACAGACTGAAACTGATTGACCACAACATATCTTATAATGTAGCATCTAACACAATATTTACCGACCAGACCAGTCTGTGTTTGCGTTCTGACTCCGACTCTCAAGATGCGATTCATCACTCTTCCCATGCACAGATATTTTGTGCTATCACATCATTTTAGCACATTAGAGTTTCAGTGGGCAAATACAGAAAAGCCACTGTGTTTCTTTAACAGTCTTCTCTATTTACATCCTCACAGAGTGCCAGTCTGATAGGGACATTTCACATTGAAATCTAGCTTAAAGCAGCTTTAGTTTTTCCAGCTCTCAACAATGGCATCCATTTTGGTTGTTTTTGTTGGTTGTTGTAAGAAAGCTGTCATTATATCAAGTGACCTATACTTGTGATCAATACCTGTCAAACTTAGTTTTATAAACCCCAAAGTAACTTTAAAAACCACCCCAAACCTCCACAGGGGATTCACTCCCACATGTCCCCACATTTTTATCTGACCAGGCATTTCTGGTAGCCGAGAAAGATCATTGTTCTGAGGAGAGAATCAGCATTTTCATATTCTTCACACCCTAGCAAATTATTCAGACACTCACTAATGCGTCTCACACATAATTGTAAATGATGTGACAACAACACTCAGCTCAAACATGGTTGTATGGATGCTGACTGCCCCCAGGTGGTCGCTCTGAGTATTGTTCTTACATCTAATATTGTATTGGCAATAATCTTATTATTTTAATTCATGTAACCAGAAAATGCAATCCATAGCCACAATTTATGGGAGTCTTTATTCTAGTATGCCAGCATGTAGACCAGCCTATAGATTAGGCTACATCATTATTGCCTACTACTAGTTCTGCCTAAGATTCTAACAATGATAATGAACTTTTTACTCATTTCAAACAATAAAACCAGAGTAATTTCAAGTTGTAAAGTATGCAATAAAGTCTAAGTTACACAGAGGTTGGAAAATAAAAATATCATAAGCACAGTTACAGAATAAGGCAAGATTATACATTATTTACAGTTGTATGTCTAATAGCAGTTCCACATGCTAACTTCAGCCTCATGTTAAGAGAAATGGTTGTAAAATCTAATTACTTTATAATAGCAGAATTATATTTAGGCTATATTTACGTACATTAAGTTGTATCAAAAATGTTCCTTTTTTCTGATCATATTCTGTCTCTAAAAGTCAAGAAGAGTAAAAAGCCTGCTCACACCACAGAGTGACAGATCAACATCTGCGCTATTCGCTAAATCTGACAGTCAGTCAGTAGCTGTGCCCTTCAGTCAGGGTTATATTGTATATAAATTTTATAGAAGTAGGGAAAAAGCTCAGTCAGTTAGCAAATTTGTTAGGCCAGTCTCTAACACAACAGTTAGTTCACCCAGTCTATTCAAAAGATGTCTTTATATCATGAACTCTGTCTCACAGCAAGCGAAACTCTGACAGAGGGAGGTTAAACAGAAGCTCAGGTGAGGCACAGCTAAGGAGCTACAAAAGCTTCCTCATTTTTTCACTGGTTGTCTGTTCAGTCAAAGGTCAGCACTTGCTATCAGCCCTGAAAATGATTGTGGATTTATTTTGTCCCAGCAGTCAAATCCACTGTTCACATTGATTCCATTTGAATGGAATTTCGATGCATCATTTATTTTTTACATGCTGGGGTGACCATGCCTTTTTAAAAATGATACCCTTAAACCCACATTTACTGTTTTTTTTTTGGCAGCAGAAACAAGCTGCAAACACTCTCACTGACACATTATCACCTTTTCAGTTTATATGACAAAATTGAAACAGTTGCTTATTGACACAACCAGCAGACACATTAGCATTCTGTCTGCCACTTGGTAGTAGGAAGGGAGTGCACAATGGGTTTATTAGGGCTTTCTTAATGAAAACCGCCTGTTGCATCTAAAGACAATGTTCTTGAGAGAACTGAGAGTAAAAACAGTGACAGGTCCAGAAATAAAATATAGAAACTAAAAGATGGTAAAACGCTCCATAGCACTGAGGTGAAAAAGGTTGACTGATAATTATTTGTGGGTCTAACACCACAAGCGCACCCCTTTGGCATTACACCCAGTCATTTGCCCATTGTTAATGGTTGTCTCTGTTGTCGAATATTGATTAGAGCAGCTTTAAGATAATTCCAATAACTGTTTCCACTCTCTGTTCCCCTCCAGAAAAGAAAGACACTGTGCTGCGGCAAGTGCGTCTGGACCCTTGCGACCTGCAGCCCATCTTCGACGACATGCTGCACATCTTAAACCCAGAGGAGCTGCATGTCATCGAGGAGATCCCGGCTGCCGAGGACAAGCTGGACCGGCTGTTTGAGATCGCAGGAGTCAAGAGTCAAGAGGCCAGCCAGACGCTGCTGGACTCGGTCTACAGCCACCTCCCTGACCTGTTATAGTGGAGGAAGGATAAAGAAACCACACAGATGAGAATTGGTACAAGAATTAAAAGGAACGTGTCAGTGGGAGGGATGAATCAGATTTGATCTGACTGGTCCTGTCACTCTGTCACATGATTTGAGCTGGGTGTTGTAGATAAGGTCTCTCCAAGGACTCTTTCAAATGTTTCCTGGTACTACTCTGTACACTCCAATCATCTGTTGTCTTGTGTGTGCACACTATTACTCCTTCAAAACCTCCATCCTCCACCATGATACAGGGTCAACGCTCAATGTAATGGAAGCATTCTGGTTGTCAAAGCAAGGACTATTTTTACTTTTCTTAAGTATGTTCAGCCTTGTTTAAGGTGATATTATGCGAGCATTGTGACCTTAAAAATGAGGCTGAAGAGCCTCCAGACACCAACAAAAAAAAAAAAAAAGCTGGTATGAAGAAAAGCTGAACACATGGAAAAACATAAAAAGCACTTTCTTTATCTTAACTGGCCAATGCCTTCACCTTTAAAGGATAATACCGGTGTTTTTTGCTGGTTGTGCCAATCATCAAGGCTTCCTTTGCCTTTAACATCATGTCAGTGTTAAAACAAATTCATTTAACATGGTGGTTGTTGCTAAATGATTGCAAGAAAGGAAACTACACACAGACTATAGTAAGCTGTTATTCTAAATGACACTGGTATTATTCTTGGGGTTCAATGGGGTTTAGCGGTTCTTGTAAACCACCGTCACAGATAATTTGACCAGGTATGAACTGACTCGTAAGTCATGTGCCTGAGCTTGTAAGACGCCCTTTTCTCAGCCCATGAGCCCTCTTTTTTTCCCTTCCTCTCCTTCCAGTTGCCTGTACCTGAATCAGATCATCTGTGGGTCTGAGCATTTTAACTTCTAACCACTCCAGCAGGGGGCAGTGTTAAATGAGATGGCTGGCCTGCTGCTCTGGAACCAAAGCCATATATCAAAAATACTGGATTAAACGTCAAAATAGTGTACCTTATCTAATATTATGATATATGGCTTTGTTTTTGTTTGCTTTTGGACAGAGGCTTCTAAACTAACAGTGGACTAGACAGGAAAAATGGTTTAGATACATTGCTTTGGAAGCTGTTGGACTCATGGACAGTAGGCTATACAATAAATACTTCTACCAGTGCACACATTCAGATCTCTGCTAGCAAGCCCCGTTCGCCTCAACAAATGTAGCGTTGATAAAGTGTTCTTGATACATTTTGGAGCTTCATGTCGGTGTGGTGGATGTCTGGGTGTTTCAGTGCTATAGTAGAAATATGTGATTTCTTTTCATGCATTGGTTATTGCTACATGCGCTACATAGTTGATATTAAAATGTAATAATGATGCACTAATTCTATTTTCTATTGAAAAGGCAGACATGTATTGTGTCCTTCATTTTCTTTTTCTTTCTTCCTGAAATGCTGTTAACTAACATTTAATTTTGTTGTAATGTTTTCTACTTTTAGTTTACTATTTTTATGTTATTGTAGCAGCTCTGTTATCATTTTGACTTCTTTGTATCTCATGTTGTCATGGGCATTCACATGTATTTCCCCCCGCTTGGCGTGACAAGATGACCTGGCTGGGATGTAAGATATGCATACTCCATACTCTACTTGAAGTCTGTCCACTTATGTTACTTGATTTAAATGAGGAAGAAATAATGTACTCTGAGTTCCTTCCAAGTTCATCGTTATTAAAATAATGATAAAACTGAAAAGCACCACCAAAAACTCACCCGCGTTTGGAGAGGATGTTGCAGGCACCATGAGAGCAGCATATGATGGACTCTGTTTTCACCAAGCCAGTTACCATAAAAGCTCCAGTGGTGCTAGATGTAAACTCTTACCAGTTGGCCTGAAACAGGGGTTCTTAACCCTGGACTAATGACTATTTAAAGTATTCCAGACTGAGTGAACAAGAGTGAAGGCTGTGCTGCTGTGGATTGTGGGATGATGACAGTGATGGTGATGATGAGAATGTGTGAGCTTGCTCTCCGCGTCTCTGTGGAGACTCAAACTGCAGGGTGTGAGCTTTTTATTTTCCTAAGGAAGTCTGAAAGGATGAAGGTGAGATGTGAATTGCACATGCGGCTCGAGTGGATGATTTCATCAAATTTCACGTGTGTAACCAGTATGTTTACTACTATGTAACCTCTTAAAATCAACCAATTAAAGCTCAAAACATTTGTCATAACTTTGTGTGTAGTTGTCAATTATTCAGATTTTTGTAAAGCTAAGCCGAGTTAAAGGTCCAGTGTGTAATATTTAGGAGGATCTATTGGCAGAAATGGAAAATAATATTCATAGGTATTTTTTCATTAGTTTATAATCACCTGGAAACAAGAATTGTTGTTTTCATTACCTTCGAATGAGCTGTTTTTATCTGGCGGAGTCTGCCATGTTTCTACAGTAGCCCAGAATGGGACAGACTTCATTTAGAAGGCGCGTGGTATTCAAATGATTGTAATTGGCAAATTCAGCACTAGATGCCACTGAAGTACATAATAAATTATTTTTATATTATTATCAATCTGCACACATCTGTAGATTAATACTAGCCATTTGGCTTAATGTGGCACTTAATATCCCAGTTATTGATATCAATCGATGTGCATTGTCCCTGAATAAATCAATACATAAATAAAGTAGAATTAATAAAAGATGACTGTATCTGCTCAGACTGGCGCCCTGCTGATCAGAAATAGTTATGATCTATGTCTTTTACTTTGAACGACCTGGGAGAGTTTAGAAGGTCAGCACTGACATCACACATGGGGAGATGGGTATGACTCATAATTAGCCACTGATGTGACCCACCTGGGGGACACCCAGACAGCAACAGTGGAGAAGTTGAGTTGTGTCATGATCCAGGAAAAGATGCAGTATTAGTTTTTTTTTCCTTTGGCCTTTGCTGACAGTTTGGTACCTTGCCATCCACATTTCTAGCAAATAAAAGCTTATCTGCCCATGTATAGTTCGGAGCAGCCCGGTTAAAGCGGAAGAGATCCTACTTGTTGGAACTACCAGCACCAGCTTTGTAGGAGGATGTGTTGTGTGTGATAAGGGTTGAGTCAACCTATTCACCCCTGGCCACAGAAATAGAAAGCACTCCTAAGGGGAAAACAAGAACATCCTTCATATTATAGCAAACTTGCAAAACAAGATTTTCAGGTTGCAGGCAGGCATGTTAGGTACAAGGTACAGAGGGTTTTGAAATATCCATTTGAAATTACAGCTCAAAAAACACTTTTGTACACACATAAATACTGGCACATTTTTTACTTGTCATAGTAGGGAAAACAGAGTGAGTCAGCATAAACTGACTGAAACTAAGGAAGTTAAGGGAATTCATCCATCATTCATTTTATTATTTACACCTGTATTTATCCTAATGTAACATCTCAAAATGTGTTCCATTACAAAATGGGTACAGCTTACATAATATGCTACCTTGTGTATTCCTTTTCAGTCTTTATTTTTCTTCCTCATTCCCAGTCTAAAACTGCATGCATATGTTCTTTTGTTACCTATATGCAAAGACAATCAGATATTTTCCAATCCCAGACACACCCAGACTCACATTTTGTTTTTTTTTATACACATGAACATACACGTCATGCCCTCATTGTTGTAGATCCCTCACTTTCTCGCTTAACTACAATGGGCAGCAGAAAAGGTCAGTGTGGCTCCAGTTACACTGACTGAGATGGGTGAAGATTCTTGACCGTGTGTGGTTGTGTGGGTTCACTATATGTGTGCGTAGGTGTGTGAGTTCACCATACCTGGCCACAGACTTGCCGAGTCACAAAGATGTCTTTGATCCTCACCTATTCACAAAGAACATGTTATTTAACAGAGCAGAATAGAGGGCGTGCAGGAGATGTAATGCATCCTCTGGCAGCCATATTGGAGGTTGTGCAGTAGCCAAGGACAGTTTGACAGGTTTCTGTTTGTACAACTTGTCCGTCGCAACTGAATTACACAGACACAAACTATTTAATGTGCTTCTCCTTGCTAGTAAATTGACCCTTAAAGTGATTTAAAGCTATGTAGAGGCAATGATATTGCTGTTGTCATTTGAATATAGATACTAGATGCTAGAATTGCTATTCAACTGAATTAGATAGACACAACTACAGTATCTCCTTGATAGCAACCTGCTAGCATCTACCTGAATTTTATCTGTTTAGCTAACGTTAGCCAAGTAAAGTCAATGACCATCACTTTGCCATTCTAGGTCAAATATATAATAGAAGCTAATGTACAAATGTGAGCAATGTTCACATTATAACACTAACAATTTATAATGTTCCTTACTAGGTTGGTACAGCTAGCTAACAAATCCAAAAGCCAATGTTTTTACTTAACCTCAGAAAAAGTCACAGTATTTCCCCTATCACGCGTTCACTTTGACTGCTAGCCAAAAGATTTGTATCCACAAAATATGTGACCAGCTACACGTTTACTGCCTCCATTATTATTCTAACTGAACTGCAATAAAAGCTCGGCCTCATGATGTTTCCCTACGTTGCACGGCTTGATCACAGGAATGCATTTCCTGCTGTTTTATCTCTCCTGTCTCTTCTTACGTATGTATCTGTCTTATATAATAATGAACCATTTGATCATGTCAGTTAACACTATTATACAAGTAGTCAGTTGCATTGCTCTAATTGTAAGGCATTAGTCACTCACAACCAGGCTGACTCGTTTACAGTAGTCATAGGGATGTCTAATGGTTATTGCAGTTCACAGCACAGGGCCTGCATAACTGGAACTTTAAACATATTGAGTGCTTAACACAAAAAACAATACACAGTTATTTGTACAAACAATCATTCCCTCAGGCGAAAAAGCATTCTCGGATCCAGGCCATTGTAGTTGTTTAGTTGAATATTTAGAATAAGGTTTGTTTGTGTGTCTTGGATAAAACAATATATGACCAGTCTGTGTTCTGCAGCAGGGAGGAACCCTCACCACTGCTAAGGGGGTTCTCGATGGGATGCAGCAGCCAGCACCAGTGGGGGCACTGTGGTCTGTGTGTACTGTCGCTGATTCCACCCCCTCAGTACCCCCCTAGTAGGGCCCCCGCCAGGTGATCTGGACGTGAACAGGCACAGCGCCGGGAGTTTTAAAAGCTGGCGTCCTGTCTGCTGTTTTTCCTTACAATAAACTTATTAAAAAAAACCTCTTATCTGTCAACAACTCAAACCCTCTGTGTCAGACAGAGTCCTGAAAGCAACTGTGGTGGTGATGATGATGATGATGATGATGATGATGATTATCTGTCGTGTTTAAACATGTTGGAGTTTGTGGACATTTCATACAGACTGCAGTGGATTCAGACAGACAGCTGCTGGGTTGTTTCATATTCATTATTTGTGATGACTGTTGTTGCTGCTTGTGTTGTGGGCTGCAATGTCTGCTGGTTATTGTAGTAATAGCAGGACACACATTGCTTGAAGCCCAGTTTGCTGTCGTGTGTGTTGGTTATGTGGCTGTAGGCTGTATAGCTGTGTGTGGCTGTGTGAGCATCCAGCATTACTGAATATATCACATGCTGAATGCTGATTTAATCGAAAGAAATATTATGAGCCAAGCTCTGATCATGCAAATAACATCAGAAGTTGTAATTCCTCAGTATCAGCAGGTCGCTGTTTAATGATAAATCCATGGCATTGTAATCCACATTTCTCCTCCTTTCCTTACAGCCTGTAGGTTGTCTCTCTGGCTTTCTCATTAGCGCTTCAAGGGCCCACTACAGGTACTCGTCCCCTCTTGCAGTGAGACATCTGCTAGGGCAGGGTCTCTAGCATTGTTTAGATTCTTTTTTTTCTGGTTAGCTGTCTTAAAACAACAACCTTGGATATTGTTCACATGTGTTATGTGATTGACTCTCAACAGAAACAAGCCAACCATCAGAGGTTGCTTTATAAATGAACGCCTGAATGTACTGTATCTTTGAGCTTGATACTCAAATACTGTTTTACGGGAATAGTTTGTGCCTGTGAGCTTTCCAATTACTCAACAGTAACAACGAAGAAATTCTTGTTATTTCCAGACAGGTTTTAATGTAGCTGCTGGTGATACTTTCCAGAGCCACATCAGCAATATACTGATTTCTTTATTGTCTAAAAGTGGCTGAGCACACAAAAAAACATCCTTTCTCTCTTTTCATTTGATTAGCTGATTTATTGTGGTTGTCTTTATTAAAACACTGTATGTATGCATTATATTTTAATCTTTTTGGAGGCTTGCTTGCCATAAAGCTTCTTATAATTATCAATATATACAAAATTCTTCTTGAAATGATGCTAAGTGAAAAAGGAGAGTACCATTTGTTTAAGCTACTGTCCAAAGCTGTATTATTAGTAGTATTAGCTAGCAGAGGAGGTGTAGTAGTTATGGTTTTAAATTACCTTGACTGATACTTAGGAGAAGAAAATGTGTTCTGACTGGCGCCAAGGCTCAGATTCTTACTGGAATAGCTGTGAAACCTGCACAGCAAGTACTTCAGCCATGATGCTGATTGGATGTTTCTTTTTGCTATGTGTCAATGCCACTGTGTACATTACTGCCGCTATGGAGTCTGTTGCTGAGTTTGACCAAACACAATAGGGGATGAAATAGGGGTTGGGTGTCCTGCCTAAGGGCATTTTTATGGACACAAGGCAGATTAGGGATTACATTTGCAGCCTACTTGCCACAGGACCAACTGTCTAACCTCTAAACCACATGCAGGTGTGATGCAGTTATTGTACTGAATATGCAACCACTTACAGATAACACAGCATCAGGTGTTACTTGTATCTGAAACTTCACACGCAAAAATATCTAATCTAGTTCACAACTAAAATCATGTGATTAATTCATTCATAATGGCACTAAATATCACTCAGAAAATGGTGTCACATTTCAGATTTTCCAGTTCAACAATCATGTCTGTAACTAAAGATGAAATGTACAGTTTTTTATGATTGTTTACACACTAAAATAAAAATTTCCACATAATTTGCGATATTCTACTCCAAGGAGCAAAACACCTCCACAGATTGGCACAACATTACACACAATGTCTGCTTCACCCTTTTTGTAAAACATTACACACAGTGATTTGTAAAACTCTACACACATTTTCACACCTTAGACACAGATAAGGATTGTGAGGTTACTTCCTTGTCATTACAAAGCCCCAGATTGCCAATGACCACACTAATGAACAAATTGGATAATCACATCCACCAGGTGTGGAAGCACACATGTGCTAATTTGAAAACGCAGCACTCAGCCAGACGGAGAGATGATGAATAGTTACAGTATTCTTGTTGCTTTTACAGTAGTAGACAGTAGAGTCAAAGTGTATGTACTTCATGCAGTCATTTTTATTTGTCTACAGATTTTATTTGTTTCATTGATTTCATTGTTGGTTGATTACTGTAATTGATTATGGTAAGAAATACTGTAAGTATTGAAATAAATACTTGAAATATTCAGTCTGCAGCATCAGTGTTGTGCAGTGCTTGGTAAGTTTATAGTAGGCCTATTTGTGTACATTCTCCCTATATCTCAAACTAATCATGAAGAATGTTGTGGGTTTGTCACTATTTTTTTTTACATCTAAATTATCCCTTACATAACAATGTCTGGCCTAAAATCTAGCACATGCTATTTCCTAAAATTAGTTTTTTCACAAATGTGTTTTTTATTTATCACAGCAGTGTGAAACTGGCTGCAATAGTGTCGGATCATTGAGGACTGTGTTGGTTAAATGAAAACTAATAGCATTTTCACAAATATGTGTATATGTTTTGACTGAAGTGTGTATGTTTTGACTGAAGTGTGTCATTTTGCAAACAATCTAGGAATTATGCAAATTGAGTGTGGTGTTTGGATAATTGTGATTATATTTTGAAAAAAAGAACCCGGTTTTCAAAATTGCGTGTAAACAATTGAAAAAAACTGTAATTATTAAACATATTGTTTTCATCTTTTTCAGTCTGGTTCCACTTTTGATTATTCAATTCACTTCAGTCTTTTGCAGTATCAACAATCTGATCTGGATTAAATATTAGCTTACATTAAAACTAAAGTTATATAAATTAACTCAGCTCAACTTTATTTATATAGGACCTTTCATACAAACATGCAGCCCAAAGTTCTTCACATAACAAACTTAAACAACACACAAATGAACAACAATAAATGAAACTTTGCTGACAATTTATACAAAAGAAACAATCAAATGTAAAACATAAAAAAGTAAAATTGACACAGGGAGACAAATAATGTAAAAAAAAGTGACAGTGACTCAAAACCTAAAAACGAGGGCTATAGCATATCTTAAATTAAAAGCCAGTTTTAAAAGATAGGTCTTTAATTTCCTAGCGACAAAAGTAAACAATTTAAATTGCTTACTTTCCTAGCAAAGCAAATTTCCACAGCAATGGGATTACTGATATTGTATGCTATAGTTACTATTGGATGACCTCTGGCATTCAATAATAATAATAATAATATTACATTAGTTTGACACTAGAGACAGTGTTGCCTTCATGGCATCATTAGTGAACAGAGATTATTCAATAATTCAAATAATTTGAGTTATAGAAATCTTCCCTTATACTGAGACTATGACCTCTGTTAAGAGGTCTAGGTGGTCCAGATGCCAGTCCGTGTGCCAGCGCCTCTGCAGCTCTGCACCATCTGCAACCCTTAATGTGTACAGAGAGCAACTTGTGCTCTCGTCATCATGTTAGTAGCCATCATTGTGCACACCGAAAGGCCACTCTTGAAGTTGAAAGCAGGAACTTGATGTCTATTTGAAAAAACTTTAACGGAGGCGACACGTCGTCATCGCACAGCTTCCTCGTTCTTCTGGACTTAAAAGACTTGTTGGCTACCCATTCAAGTTAGCTACTTGGTGTGTTTTTGAAAGGGGTGGAAGAGGAAATGATTGGTATGGGGTTCAATTGAATGAACCAAGTGAGGCTTGTACATAGATTGCTGCAAGAACCATGCTGGAAGTCTTAGACCTGCCTGTGACTCACCAAGTCCTAGGCTGTTTGTCCATGCCCTCGATACATAGAAGACTTTTCTCATCTGATCTGATAAAACCAGATAAGTTCATGTAACTTAAAATAGTTAAAACGGATTAAAACTAACTAAATTTTGTCTTGATCAAGTAGCTTAAGTAAATTTAAGTAACACTGACATTATTTGTAATAAAATACGTAGTAAATGTACTTGATCAAGAATGTTTCTGTAACTTACAGTTAGTGTCACTTAAAATTGCTAAAAGCTGCTTGCATTACAGTAAGTGGAGTGGTGCTTCACAAAAGACAGTGGTGATACAATAAAATGTTACCAATGCAGAAATGCTAGTTTCTGTTGATACTGTCAGTTGTAGTCATAATTCCCCAAAGTACAAAACAGTGAACAGTCAGCTTTCATCCTTTCATTTACATCCGTGTTGACACTAAAACAAACACTAAAACAATACTGACAATGTAAGAAGGTGTGTCAAAATCCTCACCTGGTGCACTAACATTAGGATCTGCCAGTTTATTGAGTGTTTGAATTCTTGGTCTAAATGTTGTGCACCATACTTTATACTGACAAAAAAAGTAGTAGTGTCCATGGCATGTAGACCATCCTCCATGCAATGTTTCACCATTAAACAGATGAGAAGATGCACCTGTAAGCCTGTCAGTGGAGACACAAAATGATACTAACTGACTGAAATCTCAATTCACTGCACACTACAGAGGAAACTGTGAGTGTCGGCTATAAAGAGAATACTGAATAAATGTGCTGAACATGCTTCTCCAGACTGCATGTAATTTAGATGAGCTTGTTTGAAATATATTGTTGAGATTTGGGAGGAGTGCTTTCTGTTTAGTGTTGCGTGTTGAAAGAGTCTTGCTCAAGGGCACTTGGCTTTGTTTGTTTCCCAGCAGCCTTAATATCATTAGGTGTCATTTCATGTACAAGTTAGTGACTGCTTGGCTATACTCAAATCACACCTAGACTGACAAGATTCAAATGAAAATGTACTTTCTGTTAATTCAGTTAATAAAGAATTACACTGCCTACTGAATAAAAGTGAGTCACCTGTGCATTTATTGACAGTCTGGTCTGCTGCACCTTATATTGGATTTATCTGGATTTAAATGTAGCAGCCACTGTGTTGAATACTGATTCAAGGTCTCCCAGGTGCCCCCTGTTATCATCTTACCTTTTAACTGTGCTGAGCAGATAGAATCAGACAAGGAAGCTGAGGGAATAACTAAACCTGTTGAGCCACTGCCAGCAATGTGTGTCCCTTACTATGTTTCAGGAAGTTTTTCACACTGCATGTTTCCCATAGTTGCACTTAGAGGTTGACCGCCTTTATGCTCTGCGGGCTTCTATGATGAATACAGATTGGATACTTAGAGCAGAAGAGAGATGAAAACAGAGTTATGGTAAGAAAGTTGTCTGATTTACATTCTGTGAAAATGCTTGCTTATTTGTTGGGACTTTATTGGAAAGGTTTTTTAGAGTTGGTGTTTTCAGGAATGGGCTCACTGACAGAGCTGGTTGTTTACAGTGTGAGCTCTTTTCTGATTTTTCTATAGTACCTGTTAAGCAATCCACAGTTTTGTAAATATGTGTGTGTTACTGTGTGAAAGGATTGAGATAGCAGTGAAATGATTTTCCCTGATTGTCAGTCAGTTTACTTTGGCTCATCCACGTCTCTGTTGCCTTAGGTTACAGTATTTGCAGTTTGTTTTCTGTGAAATTATTGTATATGGTTGGCTTAGTGTTGCCAATACTTTTGTGGACTGACAAGGACAAACTAATAATTGACTATTATTCCTCGACATTAAAGTGGGTCAAAGGACATCTTAACATGTGTTAGAATATACTTTGATACGTTAGATTTCAGCAGTTTGACTTTACTATTTAACATTAACCATTAACTGGTTTCTCATAGTTTAGTCCAGTCTGCCATTGCTGTTTCCATTTGCATTGTAGTAGCACTTGTATTTCCAGTACTTGGCTGATTCTCAAGTGTAATTAGTACAAAAACAGTAAAACAGAGTAAAATAAAGATATGTACAATGTTACTGTAAAACAGTGAATATAAATGTAAAGGTACAAACTCAATGATACAATTTACTGCACTGTAAAAAAAAGAAGAAGAAAAAACTACTTTCAAGGGCAACTGTCTTCATTACTCTTCTTAAAAAAAATATTAAAAGTTTTAGGGGGGAAAAATAGTAAAACAAAATTATTTAAAGTGTAAAACGGTTAATAATTTTAGTTGCAACTATTTAATTTTCAAATACCAAAATAATTAATCTGGTTTATGGTTCACTGAACAACATTGAAATTCAGAAGGTTTGTTTCAAAAGTTCAAGTTTAACTAAAAAAGAAGTGAAGATGAAAGTTCTCTCAACCTTTTCATTTTACAGTATGATATTACTGATCAAACTGTCATCATACATTCTTTATGAAATATATGTGCATATGATTGTATATAAAAATTTATGTATAATAAATCTAATCAAACATGATGAGAAAAATATGATTAGAATAATTATAATAATAACACCAGTTGAATATTCTTTAAAACTCCCAATTTCTAAATAACCAACATTACTAAAAAATGACAGCATTAGACAGTGCTGTATGACTTTACAAAGTGTATCTGTATCCATATCTGTCATCACTGAATGATAAAAAGTGCTTCAAATCTATAAATAAGAAACAGCAGAACCTTTGTATTCTCAGGCAATGCACTTATCTGTTTTTAAACCTTTATTGTAAATATGTTTTAATCTGCACTTTGAAGCACTTTGACAGAGGCTATGGGAATACATTTATGTATTAATTATTGTTACCTGTTTAGAGATCAGTGATCTATAGTTTTCAAGGGAAACTTGGCAACAAATGTAGCAAAGAAAGAACAAAGAACTTCAAACAAGTCTGCTTAAAGCAATACTCCAAACACAGAGGATGGAAAGAGCGAGGGAAAATAATGTTTTATATCCAAATACTAACATTCAGAATCACATAAAAGACCAAGAAACTGGCTAAGGCTAAAACAACATAATTCACCTAGAATTCTGGAGAAACATTCATGGGGAGGCCAGAGAGTGCACTGCAAACTTTAAGGGGTGGCAGAAATATATGCTGATTTAATCACAAATAATCTATATTATATATCAATATTTGCTTAAAAAAGCTGCCAAATGCAGATATTTTATTTCACAAACATGATTGTGGCACATTAGTAAAGTATTGAATAGCCCTAGCCAAACAAAGAAGCTTGCAGTATGAAGTCTGTGTGTTTGTATATTTGTGTATTTGGCCGGATGCTGGTGCTATAACAATTAACTTTACGTTTTTGGCTTGTAACCTTTGGACCATAAGTCACAAAAAGTTTTTTTGTTGATTCTGTGGGACCAGACAAATCTATGAATATAAGCCACACCCTAGATCGATTTTCTGCTACTCTTACAAATTATGAGTGAATTGTCACCAAATTTGGTACAGAACATCACAGGATGAAGTCGTAAAAGGTGACTTTTTCAGAATTTTTATATTCAATACAATTTGCCATAGCTGGCCCTCAAATTTAGCTCAAATGCTGTGGGCAGGGCTTATATTACGAAAAATGTCTTTGTGCTATTGCAACAAGGCTGTGGCTGCAGTTGATGTTTGAGTAATCTTTGGGCTCTGCGCAGGCACCTCACCTCATCGATATCACTGATAATGGATAGAAGATTAACAATGATATTCTGTGTAGTTTTATGCCATGCACAAACCATGCCAATTTGCACTGTTATCAGTCAGGATGTTTGCTATCGCTCCAAGAACTTTGTACAGGAATTTTGCTTTGATAAGTTTCCTTAAGAAATATATAGATGTGAGATGATCCTGAGGTTCTCTGTGATGCAGTGTGAGAACTAGATGTCCATTCTTGGTTGTCTCTTTTACATTGCTGACATTTTCTTTATAGTCACCTTTGGATTACATTTTCATTTACAGAATGCATTATTGTAACTATTTCTTATATGGAAGGTAGCCTGTCTTTGGTTCTCTATATTCCAAATGTGTTTTATCTATTTTTAAGGTTCTAGGTATAGTTGTACATTTATATTGTGCTGTATACTATGCTGCATATTGCTGTAGCATCACTGCATAGACTTTTAAAAGTCGCTACATAATTTTAGCTGGAAAACGAAGTTAACTAACACAAATTAAAACATTAATTTTATGCCATTATGCCCTTGATGACTAAATACATTTCAGTAATGATAAAAGGGAAATGGAGTTTGCTGTGATATCATAACAGAGGTTTCCAGACCAATCAGATCATTATATAATGTGACAACAACAGTTCCTTTGTAAAGTGCTGCACCTGTGAACCAACTGGTGTTTCCACAGACTCTCACTCCCATTAATGTACTAACTGGCATGACAATGCTGACAGTCAACATCATGCCTCTGTGCTGTGTTAAATCACAGCACTATAGATCTAAGTGCACATTTGGGCAAAACAAACAAGCACATGAAATGGTGCTTGCCATTGGACACACACGATTAGATGTACTCTCCTTATGATATTTTGAAGTGTCTTTGCTCATTTCTCACTCACTTCCAATTCCGAACAGGTCTCCATTCTGGCATCTTAAACATGATAAATCTTCTCCTGGTGTGCCATCCAGCAACACTCGTTGATTTACAGCCAGCACTATGTGGACTCTTCTCTGTTACAGTTAGAGATACCTTGAAGAAAACAGGGCATTGAAGGTGTGTATACTGGAAAACAAGGGTTGTGTTTATTGTCTCTAAATAAGAAATATGGATCCGGGTTGGTGAGGTTCGACTCTCCTAGTTGGAAATCCAACTTCAAGGGGTGTTCCAGTCGAGATTTTCAACTGAGAAATTGGAAGAATAGAAAGACGGGGGTCTAGTTAGCATTAACAGACTCTCTTTCATGGGTCCATTTCTGGTGATGACAGGATTACCAGGTAGTGCTGTCCCCTTAGCACTCCATATCTTACCTTATGATTTGAATCACAGAGACACAAAGCAGCAGCAATGTGATACAAGGAACTATTTTATTGTAAGTCTACCAACACAGATATTGCAGATATTGCAGAATAAGAGGATTATTTACCTGGTACAGACAAGTTTTAGTCCATGGCTTAAAATATGGACCAGGCGCAAAGCCATGAGAATTTAATGACAAAGCTGGTAAATAGATGAATAGCAATGATGAATAATTATTGGGACAATTATTAAGGTTCATTTCATGTTTTTTCTGTCCTCCTCTAACTTTCCTGAAAGGAATGGCAATATCTAAGAATGGCTTGACCATCTTTGCCCTTCTAGTGACACTGATTACTTTGGGAACAGAGAACATCATTGAATTTTCAAGTCCGGCTTTACCGGTAGGTCCACTGTATTTACGATACTCAACAGAAAATATGGGATGACTGATGACGGGTTTCGATATAAACATTAAGCAATTACTTGAAGCTGATCTGTTTTTCTGTCTCAGGTACACTATGATGAAGAACACTTTCTACCTCACACCAGGCAGAAAAGGAATGGTTAGTCTGGAAATTATATGAAATGAATACATTTGGGAAATACACTTATTCACTTTCTCACTGAGAGTGAGATTGATACAGCTCATCTATATCTCTGAAAGAAGGTGATAAGTGCAATACCCTGTACATGTCTGGTTGTCTGAAAACTAACATTGTTTATTTTCTCATTTGCAGTGCTTACAGACGAATGGAATTACATCCTTGATGTTGTAGTGAATGCCTCTAGTGCACAAACATTCGAGCAGATTCGGTTTGCTTTGAATGCAACTAGTCTTCCCATACAACTTGATAACAATACAGAGATCACTGATGTTGTCGTCACAACAGGTGAGCAGCATTTCTTGACCGTCTTTGACAAACTTATTAACAACTATATTACCAAGGATGACAGCATATAATTACTGTTCTTCTCCTCTGACAGTGTGTTCACCAACTGGCTCTGGCTTCCAGTGTAGATGTGAGGAACAATTTGCTTGGCCATACAGCAGCTGTGTCTTGTACACAGCCTGTGATTCCATATCCAGTGGCATCTGTAAATGCATCAATGCCATTCCAACTAACGGCCAGTCCTGCCAGCCAATATCAGGTAATCAAGTCATCATTTTTTATTAGTCTAATCACAATGACTTCAGAGGTATTCTAACCATAATTCAATTCAGTGCATTCCAATGCATGATATCTTCCAACAAACTATTCATCCTCCACAGGCGAGTTAAAGCAGCTAAAATCATTTTTCAGCAGAGATATCACCTGTCTCTCAACTCTACATAGCGCTATAATGTCTTTCAGCTTATTGTTTTGGTTTCGGGCCTGCACTGTTTGGGTTCAGCCTTGTTTCCAGATGTAGCAGGCAGCCAATAAATCCACTGTGCTCTACCTGTCCAGAACTTAACAGACAAAGTTAGCAACTAGCTGGTGAACAAAGTGGCGAAATTAGCAGCTGAAGAGGCAGTTTTTTGCTCTCTTTGGTTGAGAGGAAAGTTATTGCAGTTTTAAAATTGCTATTCTTAGCAGAACACAGACACACACAACATGTCGGTAAAAGTAACAAAAATATACATAAATATATAGATATGATATAAACATAAACATAGAAATAAATGTTTATGTGGAGGTTTTTAATGACACGGCACAGGTGGCCCAACCAACAAGTAATAGTCACTACTGCAGCAAAAGAGGCATGATACCTAACTGGCTTCCCACCCCAACTTCTGCGGGGAGTCGAACCTTGTTTCCCGTAAAATTTATATTTATATTCCAATGAATTGTTTTACAGAGCTGCTATCTGAGGTTGAGTATGCAGTGGATGTGGAACTGAATGTTACAGATGTGGAGACAATTAACTATCTTAGGAGCATCTTGAGCAACGGCAGCTATTCCCTGGCCTTGGGTCCCATTGTGAATGTAACAGACATTGACATCACCACAGGTAAGAATGGAGCCTCTTCTGTTCTGAAAACCATATATGCTAATATTGTGAATCACAGCACGGGGAGCCAAGTGTAGTAAAGTGCACCGTGGTTAATTCCGTCATATATGTCCTGGTGATTTTCTGTGTATGGAGATACTACAGGGTTATATATTACAGGGTCTTGAAAGAATGCTTCTAGCCAGTCACCTTCTTTGCACCAATGCACAATCGAGCTATTACTGTGCAATTTCTTACCTTTTAACTGAATATCTGGAGGAAGTAACACAGTAGTTAAAGTCATGCACCTGTTCTCTTGACATTGAAGTGTTCAAGTTGGTCTTTCATTTTCTTTTAATGCTTAATGCATCCATTTGAAAAAGGTTTCACCCATTTAATGATCATTTTGCTGGATTACCCAAACAAAGAAACAACAGCAATAGCTCCAGCACCATGTGTTAGACAAGGACTACAGCTGTTATTTTAGGAGAGGAGAGAAGAAAAGACAAAATTCTGATTAATTAAGATTTAATGTAAATTTTATTTGCTTTTTGTGAAGTTAGAGGAGACATTTTCACTCTGGTGCAACTGCTAACCACTCATACACATATAAAACATAACCAGGGGAACCTATGTATACAGCCAAAAGCGTGAATATTCCTGATTTATTTTGGACAAGGTCGAGCCTGCATCTTTTCAGTCATTACAAGATCCGTCGCTGTGTAGTACCTCAAAATTATACTTAAGCACACTACTTCTAAATAGTTACTTTCCACCACTGTTTCAGCTAATGTTACACATAATTTTAAACAATGCTAGTTGAGCACATATAAGATAATATATGACCACAACATTACAGTGCAGGCTTTAAACTTGGACATTCACACATTATTTGGTTGTTTTTTTTGGCTTTCTGGTCCAACACATTAGATCTGGAATGAAAGAGTTCCCATGAGGTTAAGGTGCTAGGTGGTAGGACTTATGGTCATTGTCTTGCTGTATGTTTGAATAGCTTTAAAGATAATCAGCACTTGAACTCAGTCACTGTTTCAGTTGAGATCTGGCGAGCTGGAGTACAGAACCAACAGAATACAAAATGCGTCTCTGTCTAAATACTGTATGTCAACAGAAACATTCATCCTGGGCTTCACAGACAGGGCAATAGCAAGCGCTGTGTACACATGCACAAGTTAAACTTCAACGAGGAACAATTTAAAATCCTGCAGTCTGTGGGCAGCATAGGGGACCTTACCCTGCCTAGTGACTGCAGAGACCAAATGGTAGCCTATCAATGATTAGAGTTGCAATCTGCAACCACTAAATCCTACACACTGGAGTAGAGTGCAGTATACCTACTGCACTCTACTCCAGTGTGTATGATAAACAGTGTGTTTATCATTATTGGTGAAATGTTCGCTGTGTTCTGACAGTAGAACATGAGACAGATAATCTGTGAAAAATACTGGTTCCTCTGGGTCCTCCTAGTGCTCCTAATGGTATTTGCAAGAATCCACCGGGCCTGAATGAAAACAACCAATCAGAGCCGAGAAAGATTCAAAGATGCCTTTGGTTGATGGCTTGAAGATAGTTGGTTATGGAGTCTCATTCCCAGGGTCCCAAAGGGTCTGTATTTGACTCCCTGGGAATGAGACTCAACAACCAATTCTTGGCTCTAATTGGTTGTTTTTGTCCAGATGTGGTGATTTCTTGCAAATGCCATTAGGAGCACTAGGGGGAGCCAGAGGAACCTGATTTTTTTCACAAATTATCTGTCTTTCTGTTCTACTGTCAGGATATAGTGAAACTTTCAACAAATATAAGAAAAAAATGTTTATACTAAAAATTACCTACTTCAGCTATAAACAACTATTTTTTTTATTGCATTTAATCACAGATTTGTTTGCTTTCTCACTTGTGTGTCTTATCTTTGTTCTTATGTGTTTTTGTTTTGTTTAGTGTGTTACCCAAATGACACCAACTTCCAGTGCAGATGTGAGGATCAGCACGTTTGGTCATATAGAAACTGTATTACATACGGAGCCTGTGATAAGATCACTGATAACACGTGTAGGTGTATCAATGGTATTCCATCCGATGGGCAGTACTGCCAGCCAAAAGAAGGTGATGGCGACTTATTTTATTATTATTAGCAACTGTGTACTTGGTGTTTCCATTCTATATAGAAAACACTTCATCTTTAAGTATTGTAATAATATTTTTGGGGGTTTTATTTTATTTCTCATTAGAAGCTGTCCAGCTGTATGAATACGTAATTGAAGTGGAAATCAGAATCAGTGACATCGCACTGATAGAGCAACTAAGGGACAATTTGGAGAACATCAGTTTCCCTGTTAAAGTTAGCAACACGATCAACATCACACAAATTGATATAATATTTACAGGTAGGAACAATCTGTATGTGATAGAATATTTGATGAAAAAAAATCATGCCATGTCATTTTAATGCTTGCTGACCTAATATTCTACTATACATAGGCCTAATGTAGGACTACATATATGAGGAAATCTAAACAAAAAATATGTATAATATAAAAAAGGATAAAAACTAAGATAATCACTAGCATTCAGAGCTTTCAATTGCCTCTCATAGTAATTTTAGGACATAATGATAAAATTGTTTCGAATTACACCCTCTTTTTCAACAGTACCTCCAGTTGTCTATGAATACGACATTTTCATTGAGGTGAACACTACAGACCCAGATCAACTGAGAAACACCCTGGATATTCACCCTTTCCCCATCCAAGTCAGCTCCCAAATAAACATCTCAGCTGCTGATATCACTACAGGTAAGAACAAATGTTTAAAATGTGTTGCAGTATCTATCTTAATAAACATTTAACCTTTTTTGTAAGAAAAAATGTGGTTCCTTTTGAAGTTTGCAGCAAAGATGGCAGTGAGTTCCAGTGCCGCTGTGAGGAAGACTACCTTTGGCCTTGTGACAAGTGTGCCACCCATGGAAAATGTGACGGTGATACAAACAACTCCTGTGCGTGCATTAAAGCTATTCCCACAGATGGACAGTATTGTCAGTCAATACACCAACAAAGTGAGTGCACACACTAATCCCAGTTTTATTGCCCAAAAATTATGTTTTTAAAACATTTTAAAGACATGTTCCAATGTTGAAACTGGTGGTTTTATTGCTTATTTTGACAATAAATCTTTGTTTCTGTCTATAGACTTTTCAGTGTGCCCCCTGACAACAACCTCACCATCAACAGGTAGATGCAATCTTGTTTACCTGTGATTGTTTTGATTAGATTTTTCTTTTCTCTTAATGTGATCAAACAAAGAATGAAGGTGCCAAAATGTTCTTTTATTTTCTGCCTGTTACAGAAACTGTACTTAATGTATGCATCTTCTCTCTGCAGCTCCTCCAGTTCTTTATGAAGACATCATTTCTGTTGAGTTGAACATCTCAGATCTTGCAGTAATAAATCAACTGAGGAGCATCCTGAGCAACATCAGTTACCCCATCAGCATCAGCAACCAAGTACAAATCTCGGATGTCAACATTTCTACAGGTACATTCATAACTTTGCAGTCTAAAATGTAATTTCCAAACAGTTTAATCTGTGTTTTCAGCTCATCGTGCTGGAACATGACTTTTTTCAAATTTTTAATGATTAAACATCAAGTGTTTCTTTCTCAGTAAACATATTTATTCTCTCTTTGTGTTTGTGTCCAGTTTGTTCTCCGAGCAGTGGTAGTTTCCAGTGCAGATGTGAGGATCAGTACCGTTGGCCATGTGACCAGTGTTTCCTGTATGGACCCTGTGACAACATCACTGGTGACACATGTGGATGCATCAATGCCATTCCTCCTGATGGACAGTACTGCCAGTCTGCTCATCAGTACAGTAAGTTTGTTTGTAGTAATTGTTGAAGCCAGTATAAAAGGTATTTAAAAGGTTAGAAAAAAGGGTCACAGGAAGGCAATACTGTAAAAGTGCATTTCAAGAATATAGACTTAAAAGAAGTGACAGTATTTGCCATCCTAATTTCTTCTGGAAGGCTGTTCCACAGTTTGCTGGCACTGATGCCAAATGCTCTGTCACCTTTATTTTTAAATCTTGTTTTGGGAACCACCAGGAGAGCTGCATTTGAGGACCTCAGGTCCCGTGGAGGGCCATGGTGGATTAAAAGGACCATCCCAATTCGTGCCTTAAAAGTGATAATTAAAATTTTATGAGTCAACTCTAAAACTAACAGGTAGCCATTGCAGAGATGAAAGGATCGGTATAATGTGGTCTTGTTTTCTGGCACCTGTTAAAATACTGATGGCTGCATTTAAAAAAAAAAAAAATTTTTGGGCCTTTTATTGCCTTTATTTGATAGATACAGCTGAAGATAGACAGGAAAGGGGATGACACACAGCAAAGGTCCGCAGGTCGGATTCGAACCCGGGGCCACTGCAGCAAGGACTCAGCCTCAGTACATGGGTCGCCAGCTCTTCCCAAAGAGCTAACCAGGGGCCCCTGATGGCTGCATTTTGAGTCAGCCGTGAGGCGGAGAGATACTTTTTGCTGCAGACAGAGAAAAGGGATTTGCAATAATATGGCGAGATGAAATAAAAGAATGAATGACAGTTTCCAGATTTTAGGTTGAGAGAAATGGCCTAATCTTGCAGATTTTCCTTAGTTGACAGAAGCATGCCAGTGTGAAAGATTTGATGTGGCTGTTCAATTAGAGGTTGTTGTTGATTAGAACACAGAGGTTTCTGCACTGTGAAGTAATAAAATTGGAGTATGAACCTAGCATGTTTCTAATTTCACTGTTGGATGAGTCAGTACCCAAACGCAAAGGTAGCTCTGTGTGTCGTCTGCATAACAATGGAGATTAATTTTGTATAATCTCATGAGATATCCTAATTGCTGCATGTAAATAGAAAATAAGGTTTCATTGCATTATGATATCTTTTGTCTCCCTTTTTATCTATCAATCTCTATATATCTCTCTATCTCGTTCTCTCTCTCCCTGTCTCTCTCTCTCTCTGTCTCTCTCTCTGCTTGCAGACTTTACAGCTTGTCCTCTTACAACAACTCCTTCACCAACAAGTAAGTCTGACAAGACAATATTTAATTTGAAAACACACATAAAGATAAGCACAGCACTGATTGCATGTGTTACAGAAACTGTACTTAATGTATGCATCTTCTCTCTGCAGCTCCTCCAATTCTTTATGAATACCTGATTTCTATTGAGTTGAACATCTCAGATGTTGCAGTAATAGATCAACTGAGGAGCATTCTGAGCAACATCAGTTACCCCATCAGCATCAGCAACCAACTACAAATCTCTGATATCAACATTTCTACAGGTACAGCCAACAGCTTCTTTCACTTTGGTTTACTTTATTCAGAGATGTTATACAGTAAATATGTGAAATACATGGCAACTGTATTATGACCCTCCAGTATGATATTTTGAGGCTATAGTCTTGTTTCCTGTTTGGTCTTTGAGTGAAACAAAAAGACATCTGCTTTTACTTTGTTTATGCAAAGTCATTTCTGTATTATAACTCAGATGTAACAGTATTTAGATATTAAACATGAAATGTCTTCATAGATGAAATTCATTCTGTGTTTTGGTGTCCAGTTTGTTCTCCGAGCAGTGGTGGTTTCCAGTGCAGATGTGAGGATCAGTATCGTTGGCCATGTGACCAGTGTTCCCTGTACGGACCCTGTGACAACATCAGTGGTGACACATGTGGATGCATCAATGCCATTCCTCCTGATGGACAATACTGCCAGTCTGCTCATCAGTACAGTAAGCTGTTTTCCACTAGGCTGTACTGGTTTGTTATAAGATTTAAACATACGTATATATGAAGGGAAATACTGTAACCTTTTTAAAGCTCTTCCTTCATGATTCTAGCCATATTGCATGTATATTTCCTTTAAATATGTATGACCTTTCCTTGTTTGGAAGGAAAGATGAAGGTGACATTGTTACAATCATTCATTTTGTCATCACTCCTCCTCAATGGTGACATTTCCTTTACTGGTCATAACTGGTCTGTAATCTGTACTTTCCTTCTCCTCTGTCCCTATACCAACAGACTTCACAGCTTGTCCCCAAACAACACCCTCTCCACCATCAACAAGTAAGCATGAGAAGATCACATTTAATAAATAATAAAAAATATACATTGCAAGTGATACCACTAACATCACCTTTTCCATCAACATGAATTTCTTTCCCAACAGCTCCTCTAGTTCTTTATGAAGACATAATTTCTGTTGAGTTGAACATCTCAGATGTTGCAGTAATAAATCAACTGAGGAGCATTCTGAGCAACATCAGTTACCCCATCAGCATCAGCAACCAAGTACAAATATCTGAAGTCAACGTTTCTACAGGTACATTCATAACTTTACAGTCTAAAATGTAATTTCCAAACAGTTTAATCTGTGTTTTCAGCTCATCGTGCTGGAACATGACTTTTTTCAAATTTTTAATGATTAAACATCAAGTGTTTCTTTCTCAGTAAACATATTTATTCTCTCTTTGTGTTGGTGTCCAGTTTGTTCTCCGAGCAGTGGTAGTTTCCAGTGCAGATGTGAGGATCAGTACCGTTGGCCATGTGGCCAGTGTTTCCTGTACGGACCCTGTGACAACATCACTGGTGACACATGTGGATGCATCAATGCCATTCCTCCTGATGGACAGTACTGCCAGTCTGCTCATCAGTACAGTAAGTTGGTTTGTAGTAATTGTTTCTGCACTGTGAAGTAATAGAATTGGAGTATGAACCTAGCATGTTTCTAATTTCACTCTTGGATGAGTCAGTACCCAAACGCAGAGGTAGATCTGCGTGCCGTCTGCATAACAATGGAGATTAATTTTGCATAATCTCATGAGATATCCTAATTGCTGAATGTAAATGGAAAAATAAGGTTTCATTGCATTATGATGTCTTTTGTCTCCCTTTTAATCTATCTATCTCGTTCTCTCTCTCCCTGTCTCTCTCTCTCTCTGCTTGCAGACTTTACAGCTTGTCCTCTTACAACAACTCCTTCACCAACAAGTAAGTCTGACAAGACAATATTTAATTTGAAAACACACCTAAAAGATAAGCACAGCACTGATTGCATGTGTTACAGAAACTGTACTTAATGTATGCATCTTCTCTCTGCAGCTCCTCTAGTGTTTTATGAGTACCTGATTTCTATTGAGTTGAACATCTCAGATGTTGCAGTAATAAATCAACTGAGGAGCATTCTGAGCAACATCAGTTACCCCATCAGCATAAGCAACCAACTACAAATCTCTGATATCAACATTTCTACAGGTACAGCCAACAGCTTCTTTCACTTTGGTTTAGTTTATTCAGACATGTTATACAGTGAATATGTGAAATACATGGTAACTGTATTATGACCCTCCAGTATGATATTTTGAGGCTATAGTCTTGTTTCCTGTTTGGTCTTTGAGTGAAACAAGGAGACATCTGCTTTTACTTTGTTTATGCAAAGTCATTTCTGTAGTATAACTCAGATTAACAATATTTAGATATTAAACATGAAATGTCTTCATAGATGAAATTCATTCTGTGTTTTGGTGTCCAGTTTGTTCTCTGAGCAGTGGTAGTTTCCAGTGCAGATGTGAGGATCAGTATCGTTGGCCATGTGACCAGTGTTCCCTGTACGGACCCTGTGACAACATCAGTGGTGACACATGTGGATGCATCAATGCCATTCCTCCTGATGGACAATACTGCCAGTCTGCTCATCAGTACAGTAAGCTGTTTTCCACTAGGCTGTACTGGTTTGTTATAAGATTTAAACATACGTATATATGAAGGGAAATACTGTAACCTTTTTAAAGCTCTTCCTTCATGATTCTAACCATATTGCATATTTATTTCCTTTAAATATGTATTACCTTTCATTGTTTGGCAGGAAAGATGAAGGTGACATTGTTACAATCATTCATTTTGTCATCACTCCTCCTCAATGGTGACATTTCCTTTACTGGTCATAACTGGTCTGTAATCTTTACTTTCTCTCTCCTCTGTCCCTATACGAACAGACTTCACAGCATGTCCCCAAACAACACCCTCTCCACCATCAACAAGTAAGCATGAGAAGATCACATTTAATAAATAATAAAAAAGATACATTGCAAGTGATACCACTAACATCACCTTTTCCATCAACATGAATTTCTTTCCCAACAGCTCCTCCAGTTCTTTACGAAGACATAATTTCTGTTGAGTTGAACATCTCAGATGTTGCAGTAATAAATCAACTGAGGAGCATTCTGAGCAACATCAGTTACCCCATCAGTATCAGCAACCAAGTACAAATCTCTGAAGTCAACGTTTCTACAGGTACATGCATAACTTTACAGTCTAAAATGTAATTTCCAAACAGTTTAATCTGTGTTTT